GGATTTCAGAGTCCAGCTCACCGGCTTCTACGGCGTGCCTGCGACCTGGTGGACCTCTCAGCCGAAAGTTACGTCGAGCTCGGGATGGATCACCTATTCAGCGCACCGAGTCGCGGAGCGAAGATCAGAGTTGATGGTGATGCAAGTCCGTATGGGGTTGTACTATGAGTCCACTGCGAAGGGTATGAGAAGCAACAAGACTTATGCACGAGGCAGACTGTCGGCGTGAGACTATCATTTCTTGCAAAGATAGTTGTGCTATATAATGCCTGTCAGAAGATATGATCTTGATCTTACTGGGAGTGTCCGAGCTGCTCATGAATGTCCACATCCTGATCTTTATTGATATTATGATGTCTTGTGAAGATGCAGTTGCGATTATCTTGGTTATTATGATGTATATCCAGGTTATAACTCCAGTGCGGTTGTTCCTGAAGTACACCTAGCCCCTCTACTGCGACCAGCCCACGTGCAGATTTGGCTGGGCGGTGAGCTCGATTTGTTCACTGTCTCACACGATCTGATGGGGTCTATCGAGTCGTGCCGCAGGGTCGAGGACTCGGATAACAAGACTCATTGCCCGATCATGCTCACCCTTCGTACCGACACCCGCCGCCGCACCAAACAGGTTTTGAAGCTCCCCAAACATTTCTCGTTTGAAGGGCCGCTAGGACCTCCGCCACCGAGGAACCTGAGTTATGCTGTCTAGATCCGAGAGCTTCGACAAGAGGCCGACCTTGAGCGAGCTTAACATCCTGCACTCAGACATGTGCGCGCTGATGGAAGGTGAACTGTCAGACATCCCAGGCATCCCTCAGGCTGGAAGGTCTCAGTATGTCGGCAGAGGAGCTGGTTGCCAAATTGTGTCCAGGCCAATTTGGGAGAATGTCAAAGGGCCCTAACTGGAGTGCACCAAGGCCTTCAGGGCCCTCCGAAAATTCGGATTCGCCTGGGGCAACTCAAACATCTTAGGGACAAGGGCCACCGCTGGTGTTCTCAGGGGGGGACAGATCGCGTTGGAAAGCTCCGCGAGCCAGTATCTGACCTCGACGCTGGCCCAGGATGGCCTGAATGTCAAGGTTCACTTCGGTTTCAAGTAGGTGTTGCTATTGATGATATAGGTGGGCATGCTGAATCGGTTCGGGAGCTCGCTGAAATCATTGATGCCTGTTTCTGCAGGGCAAAGCCTAAGGTCTGGAAGGGCTGGGTCAACAGCTCCTCCTATCGCGGTCGGTGGCGGCGCTGTCTTTGGGTATGCCAAAGAACCTGTAGGATGGGCTCCCGACCCAACTGCCTTGGAGGTTCGAACTTCGAGGTTCGAGGTTCGAACTTTGAGGATTTCGGGAACTTTCGTAATTTCTTGGCGGTCTACCTCCCTCGGGATGCGTTGCAGCGGCTGCACCTCGCCGAGAGAATTCCGGGGGTGCCAAGATCGTCCCGAACGGCCGCCGGAGACCCGAGTCATGACCCGAAAACCAAGGTCGGCGGAGAGCGCGGGGCAAGTCTACGCCGCGGAGACCCTCGCGGAGGAATGGGAGCAGATTTGGCATGACGGAGAACTCATACTGCTGAGCAACTTGGGTTGCCCCCTGGAGAAGCCCCACCAAGCCCCACGCTGGAACAGGTCGAGGGGGCCCTCAAGAGGTCCACGAGAAACGCGGCAGTGGGCATCGGCGGGTGGAGCCCAGCTGAGTCGAGGAAGCTCAGCGACAGGCGGTCGAGGTTTATGCGAGGTTTCACTCGAGCGTGGAGACGCACCTGCTGATCCCAAGGCAGTGCGCCCTGTCGCTCATCACGCTTAGAAGCTAGATGGCGGCTACAGGCCCAACGACATCTTTTCAACTGCAATCGTAGTCCTCGGGCGTATGCATGAAGAAGCACGGTGGGAAACATCACATCAATTGAAATGTGCGTACGGTAGTAAAGGCAAGAGTTGTGAGCGAACATGGCAGAAAGCAGGAGCACGGGAGACAGCCAGAGCCATACACGCATCATCATGGTCGGCACTTGTAGATATGAAGACATGCTAGGGGAAGATGTCCCACGATGTCATGTGGCATTATTGTATCAAGCACGGCTTTAACCTTCGGCGTGTGCGCTTGTTTCACATGGTGTATTGGGGTAGGCGTCGTTTGAAGGTTCGTGGGATCGTCTCGGATGTCCTCAGATCACGAGATCTATAATTGCAGGCTGCCCTTTCGCGACAACTCTTCTACGTGTTGTGCTGCCTGATACGCTCGAGTACATGCGTGCCAGATGGGCCTCCCTAGGCCTCTATGTGATGGTGGATGGCATCGCGGCCGAGGCGATCGGGTCCACGAGCAGCGTCGTCTCGCCCAGGTAGTCCCAGCGTTATATGAGAAATTGGAGCAGCTAGGTTTGGTTACATTCAGGAAGAGGGGCATATTGAGGCCTCGAGCTGTCCAAACGCCTGCAGGAAACGTTGTCCACATATCGGGTACGTGCTTGCTCTACCGCGAAAAAGTGTTGGGCATGTTTTGAGTGGACAGGTCAGGAAATTGAAGCAGACGTTAAAACGTTACAACAACGGAGCATGCGAAAGCGAGCTGGACGGTTCCGGGCCCTCAAGCATCATCGCTAGGGACTCAGGCAGACTTTCAGAACTGGAGGGATGGCAGCAGCTACGCATGGGGCTAGGGTCCAGGAGATGTCGCGCACGGACTCGGTCAGCTTACGCTCCGTCGCGTCTCGTGTTCTGTCTGGGTAAGCCAGAGGGCGTTGCCGGGCAGCGCAATACCTCCTCACTGATCCTCCCGACATTGACGCCGCCTCCGTGGCCAACGCCCTCGCCATGTTGACTTGGCAGACGGCACTGCACCAATAACGGCTTCCTCGGCGCGTTGTTCCTACCATCTTCAGCGTTCCGCGGCAGCATGTTCCGCGGCAGGATGGAGTGCAGTTGCATGACCAGCTGGCGCAGTGGTGCAGAGGCTCATGCGCATCGGCTGGTCAGCAGTAGATTGCGCTGCGCGGCGGGACTCTCAGGGCCTCCAGGTGGACCTCCTCGCCATGGGTTCCAAGAGCCTCAAAGTCCTCGTCCAGCGTGGCCTCCGAAGGTCCCAAGAAGTCCAGGCCCAGAAGAACTTCGGCTGGGATGTTACACCATCCTGTGAGCCTATCAAGATGGAGCCGCGGCGTACGGGGGGACGAGGGGAGCACGTCCTGGCTGTCCTCGTCACTACCCACGTCGCAGGTGGGCTCTGGACTCAGAAAAGGCTTTCCTTGAACGCTGTTCAATCAGTAGTGTGTGTATGTGGTAGGGCGCTCAAGCTGAAGGGCGGCGGACCAACATGTTGTTGAGTTGATAGGCGCCAGCAGCGAGGCAAGAGAGCGTCCGCTGATCGAAAATGGTGTCACAAGCAATGGTCATGATACTTTCCCTTGCCGCTCGTGGGGTCCGAAGCTGAAGATTTCATGATACTGTTGGGCCCCAGGGCATCTCAGGATTGAGATGTTCATAGACGGATCGGACCTCAACCCAGACGTAGACTGGCAACCGAGATCAACATGGGCATGCGTTTCTTTGCTTCCAGGATTCCGGGAAGCTGGTTCTGTCTGCTATGGCCCCCCCCTTGGGCCAGTCCAGAGCTCGGGTTTGGGCGAGCACTTTCCGCTCTACATGGCACTGTGACTCATGGGCACACAAGCGACCATAATCACAGAACACAGGACTGTTGTCCTTGGAGAGAAGAGCAGAAGTCATGTCCAAACCCTTCCCAACCAACATTTTGTATATTGGAGGTTGATGTTCTGGAAGTTGGAAGACGTTGGCCGTGAGAATGTTGACCTTGTTCGGATGCCCTCTCACAAGTCTCGTTCCTGGTTGAGTCAAAATGGGTTACCTTGAAGTTGGCACTCGGGGAACTCAGAAGCGGATATGTACGCCTAACTCGGGGCCAGGGGGCATGGGCATCCCTCGAATCCCTAGGTCCTGGAGCGTTTAAGGCCCGCTGAGGAGTTTGGTATCAGGTGTGTTCGTCTCCTACCAGGTGTGCTGTATAATCTCAGTGGTGTTCAAGATGACGATTCTTGTCTAAAGGCCCAGAAGAGGCCAGATAAGCGTGTTGTAGCACGTGAGTTAGCACATACGATTAGACTCGTCAAAAAGGATAGTGGGCACGTCCTGCATACGGAAGGGGAGAAATGGGGGTGTAGGACGTGCGGGCAATGTTCTCTTAGGGGGAATCGTGCCACCAGCCGACAGTGCCCAGGTATCCCCAGAATGATTGCTCGAACCCACTCAACTCACAGGATGTGGGTGCGTGGGCGGACTCATTGCGGTACGCGCTGCGGGAAGTATGGCACTGACCACGTGGAGGGCCTGGTGCAGGAGTACCCTCCCCGCGATCCAGGTGAATGGGGCAGGAGGGCGCTGAAGGAACTCAAAAAGGGGCGGGACCCAACCAGCAAGAGGGTGGTGGCCCCTCCCCCGTCCACTAAGCCCCCACCGTCCACATTTGCAAGCTATCTTCTATACAAGAAGGATAGACTTGTCTGAGGCTCCAGAAGCTCCGGAGGAGGAGGATGCTCCAGAGGAGGAGGAGGAGGAGGAGGAGGAGGAGGAGGACAACGACGACGACGAGGAGAGAAGCACGTCGTACCCTACCCTACCCTCCTTCTCCTCCTCCTCCTCCTCCTCCTCCTCCTCAGCCTCCTCCTCTTCAGCCTCCTTCGCCTCGACGACGCGGACCAACCAACCTTGTCCCCCCTCGGGCCCCCCTGGCCCGACTCGAGGAGCTGGCGCCCGAGCGCCTTAGAGGGTCCGACGAGGGCCTCGGAGCGCTCCCGCGGGCCTCCGCTGGCCGCCGGGGGCCGCCGACGGCCCGTGGAGGGCCGCCGAAGGCCGCTCTCAGCGCTCCCGGAGGACGCCGATGGGCGCCGAGCGCCCCCCGAGCGCCTCCGAGCGCCAGCCGCCGAGGGCCCGCCGAGGGCCCGCCGAAGGCCCGCCGAGGGCCGCCGCAGAGCCCCGCCGCGGCAGCCTCCAGAAGAGGTCCGCCCTCGCCGACGCGGCCTCGTCGGCGGCGGCCGCGGCGCGGGGGCGGGGCGCGCCGGCAGCAGGTGGCACGGGGGATAAGGAGGAGGCGGACGAGGAGTTGATGGAGGAGTTGATGGAGGAGGAGGAGGAGGAGGCGGAGGAGGAGGAGTTGATGGAGGAGGAGGAGGAGGAGGAGGAGGAGGAGGAGGAGGAGGAGGAGGAGGCGGATGAGGAGGAGTTGATGGAGGAGGCGGAGGAGGAGGAGGAGGAGGAGGAGGAGGAGGAGGAGGAGGCGGACGAGGAGGAGTTGATGGAGGAAGAGGAGGAGGAGAAAGAGGAGGAGGAAAAGGATGAAGAGGAAGAAGGGGGAGGAATGGATGAGAAAGGGGGGCGACGGAGGAGTGGCGGGCGCTGACGACGGCAAGGGCCAGGACATCAAGAGGAGGAGCGAGAGACGAGGGAGGCGGGGAGAGAGGAAAAGACGAAGCGAGGCGACCCCCCGAGGGGCCCCCTTTCGCCCGCGAGGGCGACCGCGCATGGGGTTGTGAATGTTGGAGGCCTGGAAATTGGCACCAACACCAACACAAGGGGTTGCCCCCACGGGGGGAAGACGATCCTGGATTTCGGCGTTGGTGGTAATATTTTGGCCACCTTGGAAGCCAGAGTATTCTAGACGCTTCGCGTATCCCCACCAGTTTCGGTATCGGCTCTGGTTTGCTGCTGTCAATTCGTAGGCCCGCGCCCCGGTCTTAAGACATGCCGTGTGCGCTTTCGCACGCGGCCGCGAAAAAAAAGTATGCCCACCAGCCCGTCCAGAAATGAGTCCCAGGGAGCGGATGTGATGAGGGAAGCGGGGGAGCATGCAGAAAAACAAAGGGCGGGGTGAGGCGCCATATTACCCAAGAGGGGGAGGATGTAGGAGGAGCCGTCGTCGTCGGAGTTGGAGGAGGAAGAGGAGGAGCAGGAGGAGGAGCAGGAGCAGGAGGGAGAGCAGGAGGAGGAGGAGGAAGATGAGGAGGAGGAGATGGAGGACTGCGAGGACGAGGAGGACGAGAAGGAGGAAAAGGCAAAGGAGGAGGGAGGAGGAGGAGGCGGTGAAATATGTTTTTGACCAAAACGGGAAATCGAGCGGCCAGTGAGTCTTCCAACTTGAAGTCTTGAGCCCGCATGCCCATTAGCCCGATAGATCAATGTCCTGAGGGTAGTTCCGTCACCTGGACCCCCCGAGGACTCTGACCAAAACGAATAGCGTTTCTCTTCATATCTATGACTGCCCCCAAGAAGTCCAGGAAGCCCGCGGGCATCAGTGGTGGACGCGGATGCGGTAAAACCAAGAACTCGAATATTTCGCACCCATGAAACGAGAGATGAACGAGCACCTTGGCAACTGGTCGAATCTTTCCTCCCACTCCATGCGCAAAAAGGAAGACCATCTTCATGCGCGACGTGAATCACGTATCCCTGATCGGCGAAAGCCTTCTGCATGGCATCCAGATCTGGCTTGCCCATGAGGGCCTGAGCCGCTGCCGTGCCCGCAAGTGCTTGGCCCTCTATGTCGCGTAGATTTATCGCGCTAAAGTCCAGGGATCCTTCCGAATGCTTCTCCAGAAACAAAAAGCCCAGGATGGTGCTGTCGTCTTGGCGGAGTCGAACGAGAAAAGGAAACTCTCGGCCACTGGGATGCTTGACCGTCCGGTAGTTCGCTCCGACTTCAGCCTGTCCTCTTCCGACCGGTACGGTTTCCTGCAGTCTGACCTCCATGTGCCTTTTCTCATCGCAGTTTGTACATCGCGTTCTCTTCTTCAGGCCTGATTTCGAAATCCTTCGGAATCGGGTCGAATTCGACGAGGCCCGTTTCCTGTCGAAGAAATCTCTGTCGACCTTCCGAGCTGCTTTCAACTGTCGGGCTTCCTTCCAGGATCTTCGCTCGGCGTCCACCATCTCCGCAAAGACTCGAAAGCCCTCATCTTCGTAAACGTCCTGGGCCTCCAGGGACGTGAGAAAAGCAACAGCCTCCTCCATAGTGAACTCCGTCTCGTAGACGTCTGGCTCCTCTGCGTCTGACTCGGGACTCTCCTCGACCACGGCGAAACTCTTCTGATTCGATCCCGCTGAAACTCTCGGAAATGTGCGTTTGTCCGTCACGTCCAGCTGCAATAATGCCTTGCGCACGGCTTGACGCGACGAGTCTCTAGCCATTCGTCTCCTCAGATTGACCTTCATTCGTCCTGAGAGTAGTGACCCCTCTTTGTAAAAACCAGCTCGCACGTCATCTGGCAGATTCAAACCGAACGTCTCTGCCTGCACGATCTGAGCATCTCTCCGTAACACAAATTCCGTAAGAGTCTCTCCACGCTTGATGCCGTAATCGAACAGCGCCGCAATTTGAGCGTCTCTCTTTCGATCCCCGGGGCGTTCTTCGTTCAGGAGCCTCAGGTGACTGACTAAGATCTCAACTCCACTGTCCTGGTCCAGCTGACCCCGAACTCCTCGAAACTTCCCTTGTAACTCTATCGAATACCCTTCCAGAATCTTCGATGCCTGAGTCCCTGGCGGAAATCTGGTCTTCGTCCAGGAGTTCAGGCTATGCAGATAGGACTTCCAGATGTTCGAGTCCTAAGAAATGCGGTGGCACAGAGAAGTCCCTGCTCCTCTCTGGTGTTGGCTGCCAGGCTGCACTCCAGTCTGTCGAGACTACCACCACCAGTCTGTCGAGACTACTTCCACTACCACTACGACTCCAATCTTGGGCCCAAGACCACCACTCAGACCACCACCAGTTCCGATCCTGCCACTTGAGCTCGCTCCAGTCCTTATGATCTTCTCCAGCGCCGGTTCCTGCACCTGTCTCCTGAACTCCTGGTTCTCCCTCTTCTCCTACTGTCGCTGTCAACGTGCCTGGTGTCGTCGCCAAGGCGCTCCCCTCGTGATACAGTGCCTGCCCCTGCTGGTGAACCACGCTCCCGCTACCATTGAAAAAGGTGGTCCCCAGGGGGGTGGACATGTTTCTTATCGAAGGAGCGCCCCAACGAGCATGATTCACCTAAGCCCGCCCATGGCGGGCCTGAAGCCTAAAAGGCTGTGACAGACACATAGAGGGGGGGGAGAAAAGAGGAAAGAGAGGACACCTCGGCTGCGTCCAAGTTTCAAGCACCAGGGACGCGTTTCAAACTTGTGCCAAAATGGCTTGAGCCAAAACGACTACGGATGATGATGATGATGATGATGATGATGATGATGATGATGATGATGATGATGATGATGATGATGATGATGATGATGATGATGATAGTGATGATGATGATGATTATGATGATGATGATGATGATGATGATGATGATAGTGATGATGCTGATGATGATGCTGATGCTGATGATGATGATGAGGATGATGATGAGGATGATGATGATGATGATGATGATGATGATGATGATGATGATGATGATGATGATGATGATTGATGCTGATGCTGATGGTGATGGTGATGTGATTGTGATGATGTGATGATGATGATGATGATGATGATGATGATGTGATGCTGATGTGATGGTGATGGTGATGGTGATTGATGATGATGATGATGATGATGATGATGATGATGATGATGATGATGATGAGGATGAGGATGAGGGAGGGAGGAGAGGGAGGGAGGGAGAGGGAGGAGGGAGCAGGAGCCCCCCCCCCCCCGCGCGCCTTCGCGCAGACGCCGTCGCCGTCGAGGCCGAGGCAGGCGAGAAGGCCTAGCCTGCCCCGGGGAGGGGGGGGGCAGTAGCAGGAGAAGGCCAGGGCGGGGGGGGGGGGCAGGAGGGCGAGGAGCGCAAGGAGGGCGAGCGCGAGGAGGGCGAGGGCGAGGAGGGCGGCGAGGGTGGGGGGCGGGAGCACGAGGGCTAGGAGGCGGTGCGCACAAGGAGGCGGCGCGCACAGGGGTGGGCGTCTCAGAAGGCGAGGGGCCTCTTCAAAGGCAAGGGCATCTTCAAGGGGTCCCAGAAGCTTCCTTGGAGGCTCCTCAGAAGCCGGGAGGGGTTCTGAGAAGGCCCTGTCTCCTGCCTTCTGAGCTCCCCCGCCTTCTCAGAAGGTCACAACCCTCGCGCCACCCTTTTGCCCGCGCCACCAGGCGAGAGGAAGGGGGGGAAGGAGGAGACGATCTCCCGCCCGCACGGCAACATCAACGCAGATGCCAGTGGCACCCCCAAGTGGGTGTCGCGTGCTTCGCAGCGTCGGCCAGCCCCGGCGGGGGCTGTTCGCGCAGCCAGGGCACTGGGCTGTCATGATCAACGAAACGCTGGAGTACGTCAACCGGTTTGGTTTGCCACGACATGGCACGCTAGAAGGAGGAATGAGGGAACGGAGGAAAATGAGCAGGAGTAGTAGGGCGGATGGGGGGGAGAAGAGGCATGGGCAATAGGCATACTTGCTGGAGGAGCAGGCGGAGGGGAAGGAGGAGGATAAGCTTGAGGAGGAGAGGGAGGCGGAGCAAAGAGAGGAGAGAGTAGGTGGGAGGAGCAGGCTGAGCAATCATAGGGGTGATAAGGGGGCAGGACGGGTGGGCATGGCGAAGAGCAACAGGCGGAAGGTTGCGAAAAGCAGGCTATGATAGGGGAGGGGGAAGGAGGTGCGGAGGAGAAACGAGGAGGATGGAGGGGGGGGGGGAGGACGAGGAAGGAGGAAAAGCACACGGAGGGGAAGAGGAGGGACGGGGAAGAGCAGGGTGAGGGGAGGAGGTGCAGGGAGAGTGGGAGAAAAAACAAACCGGATAACTGCTCATATTATTTGCCCATCGCCTCCCATCCTGGCCAGTCCCTTCACCCGGCGTTCCCGACGTCTGCTGATGCGTGCTGCTGTTACGTGCTGCTGTTACGTGCTGCTGTTCCTCTGCACGCGGCTCATCCTTCACCTCCTCGTCCTTCCACTCCTCCCTGCTACCTCTCCTCCCTTTCATGTTTTCGCTCTCGTTCTCCTCCTCCAATTCTTCCTCCCCACTCCTGCTCCGCCTCCGCCACCTCCTCCCCGTCCCCCTACAGCGCGCTTCTCTAGCATCCTGCTTTCTCTCGGCCTTACGGGAATGGCCTCGGAAAACAGTTATGCAGACGCACTGAGTGAGGATAGCACATACCACGTACTGACAAACGACGAGCAGCCAGTGGCGACATACTAAATACAGACGATGCCCACGGCAGCGGCGCCGCTTGGTCATGCAATCATACCACTGCTGTTCGCACCGAGAGGCGCTCTATGTCACGGAAATGGTTTTCCGCCATCCACCATGCAGCGGCAGGCTTTTTACCGGCCACATGTGACGACTTTGGCTGGCTGTGAGCCATCTCTGCCCAGAGCGCGTGGTGGACCGTCCCTGCCAGCATTGCATACAGTGATGCGTGCGCTTGCCGTTTCTGCACATCGTCTAGGACAACGCCCAGCCTGGGAGGGAGGAGCCTGCGACTCCCAACGGGCCGCTCTCCTGTCCAGCCATCTTCTAGCAGCGACTCTTCTTAACAAAAACCCAAATTGCTCGCTGTAGGCCTTTTCGTAGGCCGCGTCGGAAATTATACGCCCGTGGTCCTGACCTCCCCTAACCCCCTCTCCACTACTTCACTCCCTGGGGCGGGGGGCGAAAGCCCCGTCCCCTCCCCCCCCCAACCCCCCACGCGGAGCAGCGGGACAGGGATGAGGGGCAGGGGCAGGGGGCAAAGAAGGGGAGGGGGAGCAGGAGGAGAGACGACGGCGGCGACGGCGGGGACGACGACGAGGAGGGCGAAGAGGGCGACGGCGAGGGCGACGGCGGAGACGAGGACGACGGGGGCGAACAAGACGTCGGCGGCGGACGCCCGAGGGGCGGCGGCGCGCCCCGCGCGTGCGCCGCGGCCGCCCCGCGAGGGAGCCATGGGAGAACACCCGCGCGAAGAGCCCGCCCGCGGAGAGCGCGCCCGCGGCCCCCCGGCCCCTGCTCGCCGCGAGGACAAGGGGGGGCGGGAGGAGGTCCCCCGTCGCCCCCTCCCCACCACTTCGGGGCGTCGCCACGTCACGCCGTGTCATTCTGCGCGCTGGCCTTCGGCACCGTGCTGTGCCGTGGAGTGCTGCGCCACGCTGCGACACCCGACTGTGCGAAAACAGGGGGGAGATCTGCGCCCTGGTAAGGGATGGGAGGGAGGGGTAGGACGTCAGATATGACGCGAGCGCACCTCCCCTCCCCCTCCTCCCTTCCCTCCTCACTCCCCTCCCCCCCCCCTCCCCTCCCCCTCCCCCCCCCCTCCCCTCCCTCCTCACTCCCTTGTCCGTCCTCCGTCCTCCGCCTACTCCAGCCTCCGCGGGTGCTGAGGGGCGCCCGCCACCGGCCCCCCCCCTGCAGAGGACCTTGAGGCCCATCGAGATGTAGGCTGCAGTTTCAACGGTCACCCGATGCTGCACGCTCGAGTACAGTGGAGGCCCGTCCACAAGAAATCTTCCACAAGAAACCCAACCCTGAGACCCCGGGACGTCCATGGATTTTCGGTGTGGGAACGTCGCGCTTCCCGTGGCAAAAGCTTCGAAACCCAAGAAAAACCCAGGGCACCCTGGAGGCAAGCAGGGTGCTTCCTGGCATGGGCCCCCACTGTATGTGGGCGGTCGGGAAAAGACGATAGCAAGGCCATCAACTGTTGCTGCGCCTGCGGTGCCTTCTTCAGCGTGGAGCAGCCAACTCGGGCCCTTCTCAGGCCGTGTCTCCGAGAGCACGCGGCTTAGGGCCTGAGGGGGGCAGCTCTGGCTGATGTTAGATCTCAAAGGAGGTTACGACAACATCGAATGGGACTGGCTAGTCTTGACGGCCCTCCGTCTTGGCTATCCTCCCGTCGCGCTGCATCTAGAATTGGCCCAATGCGTTGCAGCACGCACCCTCGAGCAATTCGATTGTGTATGTGCTCCGTTCTTAGTGGATCGGTCAATTATCCAAGGCCTCCGCGGAGGCACTCGGTTCACTCAGTGTATGACGCAGTTGACCACGGCAAGGACTTCTCGGACACAACCCGCCTTAGGCAGTACATCTGCGGGCTCGCAGAGGGTGGCAAGCGTGTCTTTCCTTCAACTCTACAATGGGGTGCGCCGGGGATGCAGTCGCTATCCGTTTCGGGCTCGAGAAGTGTGGCAAGCGTGGCACTTTCTTGACGCCACAGGGGGTGCCTTGGGGGTGCGGTCACTATCCGTTGCGGGCTCGCAAAGTGTGGCAGGCGTGTCTTTTCCTCGACGCCACAGGGGGTGCGCTGGGGGTGGGGGTGCTATGAGTTGCAGGCTATCCGCCCTGGTTGTCCACGGCACAGCAAGCGCGGCACTTTCTTGACCACCTAGCATCATCCACGTATGTTGCACGTCAGCTGTGCCAAGACAAGAATTCTAACGAAATACGTGGGGTTCCTCGGTAACGTAATGGGTCTCTGATTTTCTTCACACCCGCGTCCCACCCGCAAAGCTCAAACCTCATCTCCTCTCACATCTCCTTCCCGAAGGGGTGGCATCTCCTCGAAACAACAAGTGTGTGGGAGTGGCCCCCCTATCCCGTTTCGGGCTCGCAAAGCGTGGCAAATGAGGCGCTTGATCGGCGCCACAAGGGGTGGTCCCCATATCCGTGTCGGGCTTGCAACCCGTGGCAAGTGTGGCGCTTCCTTAGCACCACAGGGGGTGGTCCCCAATATCCGTTTCGGGCTCGCAGAGCGTGGCAGGCGTGGCACTTCCTCGGCACCGCAGGGGGAGGCGTTGGGAATGGTCCCCCATATCCGTTCCGGGCTCGCAAAACTAGGTCGCGTGGCAGTTCATCGACACCACATGAGACTGCGCTGGGAGGGGGTCCTTATCCGCTTCGGGCTTGCAGAGCATGACAGGCGTGGCATTGCCTCGAAACCACAAGGCGTGCGCTCCAGCCGCTGGGGGTGGTCCCCCTGCCCGCTTCGGGCTCGCAAAGCGTGGCGTGGCTATTCCTCGTTACCACAAAAGGTTCGCTGGGGGTGGTCCCCCTATCCGCTTCGGGCTCGAAAAACGTGGCTGGCGAGGCACTTCCTCGATACCACAGGGGGTACGCTGGGAGTGTTCCCCTATATCCGCTCCAGGCTTGCAGAACGTGGCTGGCGTGGCACTTCCCCGACACCACATGAGAATGCGCTGGGTGGGGGTCCCTTACTTATCCGTTTCGGGCTCGCAAAACTTGGCAGGCGTGACGTTGCCTCGACACCACACGTGGTGCGTTGGGGGTGGTCCTCCTACCCGTTTCCGGTTCGCAAAGCGTGGCAGGCGTGGCACTTCCTCGACGCCACAGGGGGTGCGCTGGGGGTGGTCCCCCTCGCCGCTTCGGGCTCGCAGAGCGTGGAAGGCGTGGCACTTCCCCGACAGCACTGGGGGTGCGCTGGGGGTGGCCCCCCATACCTCCACTTCGAGCTCGCACAACGTGGCCGGCGAGGCGTTTCTTCGGGACCGCTGATGC